AAAAAAACTGGAATAGCCCCATGTATCTTATTGGATCACCATGGCTTAAAGTTAGAAGTCAACAGCAACACTAACTTCAGAAAGCCCACAAACACATGGAAACTAAACAATGTTTACATGAATCACCAATATGTCAAGGAAGAAATAAAGGGAGAAATTAAAGACTTCCTAAAATTCAATTAAAATGATCACACAACATATCCAAACTTATGAGACACAATGAAAGCAGTGTTAAGAGGAAGAAAGTTCATAGCACTAAATGCCTACATAAAGAAGCTGGAAAAGTCCCACACTAGTGAATTAACAGAATATTTGAAAACTTTAGAACAAAAAGAAGCAAACTTACCCAAGAGAACTAGACTGCAGGAAATAATCAAATTGAGAGCTAAAATCAACAAAATTGAAGCAAAGAAAACAATACAAAGAATCAATGAGACAAAGAGTTGACTCTCTGAGAAAAATCAACAAATTAATCAAAAGGCAGAGAGAGAATATCCAAATTAACAAAATCAGAAATGAAAAGGGGGACATTACAACAGACATGGAGAAAATCCAGAGAATCATTAGGTCTTCAAAAACGTATACTCCACAAAATTTAAAAACTTAAAGGAAATGGACAATTTTCTAGATAAATATCACTTACCAAAATTAAATCAAGACCATATAAATAAATTAAACAGATCTATATCTGCTAAGGAAATAGAAACAGTCATCAAAAGTCTCCCAACCAAAAGAAGCCCAGGAACAGATGATTTCAGAGCAGAATTCTACAAGATTTTCACAGAAGAACTAAAACCAATACTACTCAAATTTGTTCCACACAAGAGAAACAGAAGGAACATTGAGAAACTCCTTTTACAAGACTACAGTTACACTGATACCCAAACCACACAAAGACACTATGAAGAAAGAGAATTACAAACCAATCTCACTCGTGAACATGGATATAAAAATACTCAATAAAATACTGGCAAATTGAATTCAAAAACACATCAGAAAAAGCATCTACCATGATCAAGTAGGCTTCATCTCAGATATACAGAAACTCATAAAAAAGGAAAATATTTAATCAGGTTTGTACCGCAATTAATAAAATCCCAGAGACAGATACTGGGGTTCAACCTGAAGGTCAGAAAAGCAAAACAGCCCAGCCACTGGCTCTTTCCTCTACTTCAGTCCAAAATGGCGAACCTGCCTCCAGAAATCCTCAGAATGAGACCATGCCTGAGAGCTGTCTCCTCCCATTTTATAGCCCTCTGTAGGACTAGGATTAAAGGTGTGCACCACTACCACCTGGTTTCTGCGAAAAACTAGTGTGGCTATTGGGATTAAAGGTGTGTGTCACCACTGCTTGGTCTGTAAGGCTGACCCGTGGGGCTGTTTTACTCTCTGATCTTCAGGCAAGCTTTATTTATTAAAATACAAGTGAACTATCACTACATGGGTTGCTTTCAGTTTCAGAGGATTGGTTCATTATCATCATGGTGGGACATGGCGGCGTGCAGGTAAACATGGAACTGGAGCTAAGAGTGAAAAAGGGGCTACATCTTGATCTGTAGGCGACAGAAAGTGGTCTTGGACACTGGGCATGGCTTTAGCATATATGAGACCTCGACGCTCACCCCCATGGTGGCACATCTCCTCCGAAACTTCAACGCCCACCCCCACAGTGGTACATCTCCTCCAACAAGGCCGTACCTATTGCCACAAAGACAGCTCCCAGTCGTGCCACTGTCTGTGAGTTTATGGGGGCCAATTACATTCAACTAACACAGTCTAATTAGAAACAGAAGTAGCAATGCCAGCAACAGTAATACTAACAACAGATCCCATTCATGTTCTTCATAGGGCCAGAAAACAGTGTGTTTCCCAACATTAGCCCCCTTAAGCCCTTTTACAAATCTATAAGCCAGCTACACTTAAAACCAAAGTCATTAAACTACTCAAGAACGAGGAGATTATGTGATTCCAGAAGCCTGATTCTAGAGCCCAGCTCTTAACTACCATGATACATGACTGAGTAGAGAAACAGACCTTGCTGATGGAGCCACTCAAAGGCCCTGCAGGCCTGGCTGTTCTTTCAAAGGACCTAGGTTCAATTCCCACTACCTGTGGCAGTTCACACCCATCTGTAGGCCCAGTTCCAGGGAATCCAATGCCCTGTTCTGGCCTTACAGGGCTGTATTATTACTACAAAAACAAAAAAAAAAGGATAATTGTGTGGGAGCAAACAGTTTGGACTGGAGAGATGACCTAGTAAGTAAAGTGCTTACTGCATGGACATAAGTATTGACTTTGGATCCACAGCACCCACATAAAAGCTGGCTATGACTATGGATGACTGCAACCCAGCCCTGGCAGATGGAAGATGCAGGAGAATTGATGGGCTCGCTGGCCAGCTGGTACAGTCAATGAAGCACGTCCTGGGCTTTGAGAACCTGTTTCAAACAATAAGATGAAGAGCAACAAAGGAAGGCACCCAGTGTCAACCTTTGGCCCCTGAACAGGCCTGTGAACCTACACACACACACACACACACACACACACACACACACACACACACAGAAACCCAAGGGGAGCAGTGACAGGTGAAGGCAATGTGCGCTATTAGTCACAGCTCTAAAGGGAAACAGAAAAACCAGAGAGTTGGGCAGCATCCGCACTAAAAAGAGTGAATTATGGTACCTGCTGAAGGCTTCAGGTTGGAGCCTGACGCTCTGTGCCCAGTGGAAGCATTTATCTTATCAGACCCTGAACACAGTGCAAACTGTTTACTCCACACAATTATCCATTTTTGTGGTGGTATCACAGCCCTCCGAGGCCAGAAGCAGGCACTGGATCCCCTGGAACTGCAGTTACAGGTGGTTGTGAGCCACCATATGGGTACCAGGAACTGAACCAGGTCCTCTGGAAGAGCAGCCAGTGCGCTTAACCTCTGAGCTACCTTTCAGTCTCAACAAAGATTTCTAAACAAATAAACCTTTGAAGCTGACTGTTTGTAAGTTTTACTTAATTTTGGCTGAAAGGACTGACTTCTCTGCAAAGGAGATGCTTGGTGTGGGTGAGGAATGATTCTCACAGGTGAGGGTGTAGGAGAAATGGTCGGTCTCCGGAGCAGACTGTGAAGTGGTAAACCCTGGAGTGAGCCCTCTGCCTTTTTCCTTACTGTGAATTTTGCTGTTTGGCCTCTTGGAGGAAAAACCACCCACCAGCCATTGCCCCAGGGCTGGAGCTAGGCTTGGCATTTCAACGATATTCGAAGTTTCTGTAAACACACTGTCAGGCCTATACAAATAGAACGAAGCATTTGCATTTGCTTGGCTAAAATAGTCTCCTGTCCACTGTCGGCAAAGGGCTTGGCGGTTCTCTGAAGTGGGTAGATTTGTGGTTCTCTGCTGTGGGTAGATTTGTTACTTGGCTTTTATTTCCTTTGTTCCTCCTTTGCTGCGGTGTGTTTTTGTTTGTTTGTTTGTTTGTTTGTTTTTTGCTTTGTTTGTTTTTGTGTGTGTGTGGCTGGTTGGTTAGTTTTGTTGGTTGGTCGGCTTTTTGCCACAACTTTTGATACAATGTAAATCTGGGTCCCCCATTTGGGATGCTTGGTCTCAATAAAGGAACTTACGAATTGGCTCAAATAGACGCTCAAGGACAATTTTATTCAAATTTGTTTTCTGTCTGCATGTCTTTCCTTTTCCTAACCCTAGACCTAACCCTAAAAGACAAACCCCAGAGCAAGTAAGCTGTAAAAGTCGGGCACTTCCCAGAAGGGGCCAGCGTAGGAGAGGAGGAGGAAAGCCATGCTCTTTAAGCTGGCTTGGAGGTTAGACACATGGCTAGCAGGCAGCCACAAGGAAGGAAAGGATGCTATAGGGGAAGCATAAGGACGCCCATGTCGGAGGGAAAGTCCTAAGTATTAATAAAGACATTCTTAGAAAAAGTTACATACCTCTAAAATAAGACGACCGAGATGAACTTGATCTCTAGCATTTTAAAGCATCTATTTTGTTTTCCCTCCGTCTGTCTGGGAGCTCTCTATTTCTTCTCAATGTAAAGTCTTTACCAGGGTTGTCTTGGCATAGATCTTCTATTAAGTCGGCCTGAAAACTTGGGGAAACACTTACTTTCCATCTGTCTTAATCTATGTCCGTGTGGCTATGACAGAATGCCACACGCTGGGAAATTCGTCAGCTACAGAAGTGGATTTTGGCTCTTGACCCCAGAAGCTAGAAAGTCCAAAATTCTGGGAAGCTGCATCTGGCAAAGGGCTTGTTGCTGTGACATCCTATTGGGTGATCATCAGGAGACAGGAGAGAAGGGGGAGAAAGGAGAGTGGGGGGAGGGGAAGAAAGACTCTTTCGTGAGGATTTGTGCAAAGCCCCTGTGACCGAACTTTAGACACAATCTCCTGTATCCCACGCTTGCCTCACACTCATTACACAATCCGGGATCTTGAATTTAGGATCCTCCTGCCTCGACCTCCCAGGTGCTGGGATTGCAGGCAAGTGCACCCTACACCTGGTCACCCAGTTTGTGTGTTGCTGGGGACCAAACCCAGAGCTAGGCAAGCACTCTCAGCTGAGCTGCACCCCAAGCCTCTAACCACCCCTGCAAAGTCCCAGCTCTCCACACTGCCTTGGAGATTCACCTTCCAGCTCACGAGCCTGAACCGACCCGTTCACCCCTGAGAGCAGTTGGTTCTCTGTTCCCGCTGCTTTAGAACGGCTCCCTTCGTTGTTCTTTCTGTCTTCCTTTATACTGGGCTCTGTCTTTCTTTAAGAAGTGTTATCAATAGTTCACATGCATGTCTCAGCCTTCTCTGCCTTGGCCTTCTTTGCATCTCTTTCAGCCTTCCCTGTATCCTATAACATCTGAAATCCCTCTCGTGTCTGATTCAATCTTCCGTTGGGTGGACTCAGCTCTCCCTGCTTCCAACCAAGGGTCCCTGCTGTGAGCGCCACTGTGATTTACTTTTCTTTCTCTGTGCCACACATTTTTTCAAGAAAATGACGACTTCTCCTGTGATCCCATTCAACATAAATCATCTCCTGAATTTTGCATTTGCTCCCCGGGATGTTGAAAAACAAGTCTCTATCAAAGCCAGGTAAGCACGGGGACATTTGTCTTGACCAAACTGGGCAGCCACCACTCTAGTCAAAAAGAAAAAAAAAAATCTGTGATAGATAGATGCATGTGTTCACAGACTGATAACATGAAAACCTTCTGGAGGTTGCTAACACGAGAACAGAGAGCTCTCTAATATCCTCTAAGCTAACTAAACTATTGAATTGGGTGCTCTTAAGTTGTGTTTATTTGTTTGCTTGTTTAAAAGAGTGTCATTGTAGCTTAGGCTAGCCTCTTTCGAGGTAGCCAAGAATGACCTTGAATTCTGATCTACTTGGCCTTTCCTCTCCAGTGCTGGGGTTCCAGGCTTGCACCACTATCACCCCTGGTTTTATGTGGTGCTAGGGATCAAACCAAGGGCTTTGTGCCTGCTGGGCAAGCACTGTACCAAATGAGCTACATCCCGGCAGGAAAAACCCATACGTTCTCGCCCCTCATACCTCAGAGACAAGGACTCTTATGAATTCTGACAAGGAGCTCCAAGGAAGTGGGGGGTCGCACCTTCCGCTGAGGTTGACCCCTTGCATTCGACCTGAGAAGCTCTCTCACACATTCCTATCGGCACTTTAAATTAAAGTCCTCCTCATCCCCACCCAGAACTGCCGCGGGGTGCCCCTCCACCGTGAAGTTGCCCAAGATTAGCTGCTCTTCTCTAATGTGGTTCTGCCAAGCGCCGCTCTGCCAATTCGCCGTTAGCTCTCGCATTGTGCACTACTCTGAGTCTTCACGGTTCAATGTGCAGCCAATAGAAGTTTCGTTACTGAAATGATTTGTATTCTTTATTTACACCAAGCCTTCAAGGTTATCTCACAAAGATTTTCTTGGTTTTAGCTTTTGTGCGGCTTTTGTTGTCATTGTTTTGGTTTGGTTAATTTTTATCAAAATTAACTTTTGATAAATACCAAAAGCATAAAATATCTTACTGGTATTTCAGAGGTAATAATCATCTGTCTGGCTGCCCCTTTCCCACGTTTAATACCACACACCAGATTCCTACGGTCTGCCTCGCATTAACATCTGAGGCCCAAATGCTGAGCTTCAAACCTGGCCATTTAGGGCTGTCCCCAGTTACCAAGTGTCTCTGGCTCCACCTGCTGGTCACTCACTGTACCAGCCAGCCACCCGAAAACAAAAGTTGCTGAAGATGGGACAGAAAGCTGTTGCAGTAAAGAATGGAAAATCCTTAAGACTCACAGAAGTCAACGCAGGAGATATTTTCCAGGGAAATCTCCCCAATTCCTGGAGCCGTCAATCATTTTCACTGCATCGCTGTGGTGTCTGTCAAACAACCCTGACTCTGGCTTCTCCGTCTTTGGAGAGTTTGTTATGCCATGTGCACTTCCTTCTCTCACAACAGCCCTGAGGTAGACCCAGTTCTAAGGACCTCTGTCAGTCCTACAACTCTTTACTCACGTGCCTCTGACAAGGGGGGGGGGGCTCTCTTAGGATGAGCCCACTCCGCTGCTCTCCAGCATGGAATCTCATGAAACTATCCATCCCATGCCAAACCTTTCACTTCAACCATGCCAACACGCTGACCGATATGAAGGGCAGAAGCGCCGCTGGCCCCAAGATGGTCTCTGACTCCCTGAGGTGCGGCTAACCCAACCCAAGACATCCTTAAATGTGAAATGCACAATACATTTTGAAAAGTTAGCATGAAAACAGTCCATGGAGTATCATCATTCGTTTCACATTGATTACCTATAGATAGGATCATAGTTTGAATGTATTGAGAAAAATGACAGGCTTTCGGGCCTGAGAGATGGATCTGTGGTTAAGAGCACTGGCTGCTCTTGTAGAGGACCTGAGTTCAGTTCCCAGCACCCACACTGGGCAGCTCAAAACTGTCTGTAGCTCTAATCCCAAGAGATTTGGTATCCCCTTCTGACCTCCATGGGCTCCCGCACTCATGTAGGATACATAACTTCATGTGCACACACACGTAATACACACAAATAAAAATTTAAAAATAAATCTTTTCAAAATTTAAAAACTGCCATCGAAATTCCTTTCACCTGTTTCTTTATACTTTCCCACTGTGGCACTAAAAAGGTTAAAATTGCCTGCATGGCTGACATTGTATTTCCACCAGGCAGCACTAATCTGAACCGTTTCGTGCAGAAAGCACCCAGTTCCCTTATGCAGCCAGCTCCCTGAGTCATCAAGGTTATGCATCCAAGAACTCAAACAATCATACTTCAGGATGACTTAGGAGAAAATAGTGGCACAGAACATTGTCTACGGTTTATCTTACTGTTGCCCAAAGAATGAAACAGAGGAGCCATTTGCAGAACATTTGCTTTGAATTGGACCTTGTAAGTAACTTGGAGATGAATCAAGCACGCAAGATGTTCAGAGTCTATATGCAAATGTGACGGCATTTTCTCCAAAAGATGTGAGCATCCTCAGAAGACGCAGAACCAACTCCCTCCAGATACTGATGGATGATTGCGTATCAGCAGAAGGAAGATCATCTTTATATCTTTTCCATTTATTTTTCCTGCCCTTTCTGTCTAACCCACGGCTACTAGGATACCGACATTGATCTTAGAATATTGAAGGCAACCTCCACATGGCGACAGTAACCCGGCCAGGAAACCTTTGCTAGAAGATATATTTAGGAGTGGTGAGCTTAGGCCTGGGGAGACGGTTCGGTGTTTAAGAGCACTTACTGCTCTTTCAGAGGAGTCAGGGTTGGCTTCCAGAACACATCTCAGGAGGTTTGCAACCACCTGTGACTCTAGTTCCAGAAGATCCAATGCCCTCTTCTGATCTCCCTAGGTATCTGCATGATGGTGTGTGTATGTGTGTATATATACATATATGTGTGTGTTTACGTGTGTATATATGTATACACTATATTCTACACACACACAATAAAATATAAATAAATCTTTTTTTTAAAAGAGCTATGAGCTACATGGGAGGAGGCATGACCAAAAATTATAGACACGTGGAATCGGGTGTCACTCAAGATCTACATATGACCAGTATGGTTACAAGAAGACTGGAATTCAAATAGATAAAAATGAAAATATGAGATCTAATTTTTAGCTTAATAGAATATATACCTCTGTGTGTGTGTGTGTGTGTGTGTGTGTGTGTGTGTGTGTAGTGAGAATTGCCCAGTGTATGTAGGAATCAATAAATTTCTTCCTTACCTCAGAGAGTTGAAGTTTACACAACGTTTTTAGGGGCGGTTTAGGAATATGGGGAAATGTCCTTACACGTGTGCATGCCGACTGGACCAGCTATGATTCCTTCTCCGTGACATGCTTCTGTCCGCAGTAATCAGCACTGGTGTACACAGTGCATTCACCTATAGGGACATTCCTTATCTTGAAAATTATTGCAAAAATAATGCCAACTCAGGGGATTCTGAACATTACGGCTTGCTGGCAAGATGGAATACTAAGTGTATAGCCACTTCAAATTGTGTACCTGGGCATCCAGTGATAAACTCAGCCTTATGTGTCCCATCATTATGCCTCAGTTTAGGCGATGTGATCTTTTAAAAACGAACCAGATCGTATCACACCTTGTTTCAAGCCCCTCGGTGCCTTATTGTGCTGCTAGGACCACCAAGTCTCCCCTTTACGGTCCTGAAGAACCTGGACTCTTTTTTCTCCCCAGTTTCACGTCTCTGGCCCATCTCCAACCAGCCACAAGGTCCTTCTTTTAGCCCTCCTGGGCCTGGATTTCACTGTAGCCCTCCGATTGGATGCATTCTGTAACCCCGCCCCTACACTCCTCACGGACAAAAGCCTCTTCATCCAGGAGGATTCAGTTACAAGTGACACTTCTGGCAGAAAGCCCTTCCCTAACCTCTCAGTCTAAACCAGGTCTCCTCCCTCCGTGCCTGGCATCATCTTCCTTTTTAAACCTCCTTGTAACTTATCCTCGTCTCTGACTCTGCATTCCTTACTGGGATTATCCCCTCGCTGCCAGCTGACTACACAAATCCCACCTGGTGTGTAAAAGCTGTGCTGTAAATAGACGGGGATAAGCATACAGTGCTCTAATAAACCAAAGGCAAGTTCTGAAATCATATGTGTGATATAGTTTTAATATTAATAAAATATGGATGTAATTATTTCAAAAAGATAAAATAAAATCAAAAAGATCCAAGATGTGAACAGCAATTAGCTCTTTTTTTTCATTTATCCAGATTTCCTGCAGTGAACATATCTAAATTTCAGTGAGGGTAGTTTAAATTAGTAATAATTGAAAATGTCCTGGGCTCAAGTCTCAACTCTTTCATTTTTAATTTTTTATCTGTATGTACGTGTGTGTGTGTGTGTGTGTGCGTGCGCAGATGTGTGTGAGGGCCAAAGGGCAACCTTGGGTGTCACCTTCAGTAACACTGTCCACCTCCTTTGAGATAGTCTCTCATTGACTTAGCACTCACCAACTAGGCTAGGACTATTACCTGGCTCAGCCTCAACACAAGAGGAGGAGCATAGTCCTGCCTCAACTTGAAGTGCCATGCTTTGTGCAAGCCCATTGGAGGCCTGTCCCTTTCTGAATGGAGATGGAGGAGGAGTGGACTGGGAAGGGGAAGATGGGGAAGAGGAGGAGACAGGAGGAAAGGAGGGAGGGGAAACTGGTTGGTATGTAAAACAAATGAAAAATGTTATCTAAATAAAAAAATAGGCAAGGCCACTGGCACTGACCCCAGGGATCCTCCTGTCCACCCTTCTCAATGCTGGGATTCCAAGGGGGCTTTTCTGTGGGTTCTGGGGATCCAAACTCATTTCCTCATGTTTGTGAGGCAGGCACTTGACCTTTGAGTCATCTCCCAGCCCTCAAGTCTCAATTCTTAGCAACAGCTTAATCTTAGGAAATGAGAACTCTTCATGAACTTTTTACTATATATATATGATGACAGGCCCTTCCCCTCGAGATCTGAAGACATTAATAGAACAAGTACATATAAATCATGTGTGCTCATGTGGGCCTATGTATGTGCACAAAGGC